AAGTTGCATTAAACTCGAGACAAATTTAAATAATCCTTATCCCGTTTATCGACGAAGAAAAGCCGGAGGAAAAACTTGTTTGTTTTACGATTCTGCGTTCGTGTCTCAAGTTTAAGCATTTAATCTGAGATGATCGAGTAGTTACGCTCTAGATCAGTTCGTTCGCTCAACCAACTTTTACTGTAGCTCGCGGACAGTGGAAATTGCATATAAGGAGGTGTCAGTTCTTCCGTTTATCTAAATTTTACTGTAGCTTGCAATGGTCGGAATTGCTTAGAAAATGTCAGTTTGTTCACTTGTTAAACTTTTACTGTAGCTTGCAATAGAGTTCTTTCATAGATCCAACATTTACTGCAGTTTACAACGATCGAAATTGCATATAAAAAGGGGTGACTGCAACCAATAGTATTCACATCCCTTAGCCTCGACTTCTTTCTAGTTATACGAACAGTAGTCCCAGACGCAGAACAACGATGATCAGTGATATCCAGCGTAAATCTGTCCAGTTTGGTAGGCTTCGTTCACAGCCAGGGGTGTCTGACCGGAATTATTGCTGGACAGTCACGGTCGGTGATATCTTTTGTCAACGTAGCACGCCTGGCATCGTTTCAGCGATGGATCTAGTGACGCGTAACCTGATCGGATGCACGCATCGCGGAAGACACGAGAGAAAGGGAAATCTCGTGGTGCAGCGATCGGTTGTGCTTGGCTACCGATCAGTGAGCTTTGGCTGGCTGGATGGAGATGACCAATGGGCGGAGCTGCTCGGTTAAGTGGCCCTATGCCTTTTCCTATTGCTCCAATCGCAATGCGTTCCTCTCGAATTGGTTTTGGTAGAGGCGTGGTCGAGAAGAAAGAACAGTGCTCCAACGCGTCTCTTCTTGGATCGGTTTCGATATAGGTGAGCTCCGATCCCTCACCTTGGGATCGAGGAACAGAGATAGAACCGTGATCAATTCCTGCACGATGCTCTTGGATCGACTCGAGATGCCCAAGCCAGGACGAGGGATTTGACAGTCTGTTGTTTCGTGATCGCTTATCTGGTCCGTGGCAGTTGACGGGCTGTCATCGCTGGGACCGATCCTCGTGTGGCGGCCCCGGTGGTCGTCCTATCTTCGCGATCACGCGTTCCTCTCGCGGGCAGGCACCGAAATTAAGCCTGTGCGTGATCATCATGCGTGCTCGTGGCCTGGTGCGTCTACCAGGCGGTCGCGTTGCGTTCGATGGAATATCAGTGCCTCGCGAGCATTGCAAATATTGCATACAGAGGGTGGTTCTAAGTTTAAAAATAAATTGAAAAGAGAAAAAACGTTGCACGTTTGTGGAGTATGGGCTTCAACACGACTGGAAAACGAAATTAGTAGATGTATAACTTTTTTAAGGGGGTGTTACAGGTGTTGCTTTTGTTGTACAACGTTTGTTCCATCTTGTGATACAGGGTTCCTTCGTTTCCGTAACACTGTGTTCTGCTACTGGTATGTTGGGCTAGTTAGCTTTCTGAGAGTTTCAATGGGACTTGCACCCTCGCCGGAAGTCATCCTGGTGCCTCGAAGTTGCTTAGTGTCTTCCTTAAGAAGCTTAGCACTTTGACTGCTATGACAGAATTTTCTATTTTCTACTTTCGTCTTTTAAATTATTTCTTTTCTCACTTGTCAGCCACACTTGAGTGACAGGATTTTCCACTATGGAACTAGAGAAATTAACTCGCAAGTTAAGATGTCGAGGGAGATGAATTTGGACAGGATTTGTGAATTCTAGCAAGCTCACAAAAATAAATAACGAAACAAATTTTAGATTACCAAAATCGAAATTTTAGGGATGAAATCTGCCAATGAACGTGTTAAAGAGTGTATTCTTATGATTTTCATTGCCTTTTGATAAGAGACTACGATGGACCCAGAACATATTCCGATAGATATCAGACATTTTAAAGAGTATGCATCAATATAGAAATTGTTTAAGTTTATTTAATCTGCCACTGCAAGATTTATCGACCCTGTGCCCGAAACGAATATATAATATTATGGTTGCACCGGAGCCTGGGTTCGGGATGGTCACTGATTGGGTCGAGTCAGGCGGGGCTCCCGAATGTTTGTTATGTTCGCGTAACCGGAATTTCGGGTGCCGTTGCCTTAATTAATTGTTTCGTTCTTACTTCGAACATTGCCCTTCGCCAAATCCCTATCGAGATCGGACCAACATCTCCCAGTAATAACAGTCCCTTCAACGTCAGACTCGTTACATTGTCTTTTATTCCTTCGAGCTGACTTTGTAGAGATTTTTAAAAATATTGCCTAATGATAATTCCCTTCCGTAGGAAGAGTGTATCAGTATCATCTTGCATTATCCTATCGCTATCTTCCCACGTCACCTGACATGTAACATTTTAATAATGTAGCAGCAGTTTGATTAATTTGGACAGTTTATATGTACGTTAACGCTCTACAACCTATTCGAGATTACTGAATAAGATGGTCGCGTTATATGTATCAACGGTGCTTGTATTATTCAGCAGTATAAAATTAGTGCTGTTGGTATCGTGGCTTCTTCATTCAGCTTTTATTCACACGTATCCTATGGTCTGGTTTCTTTTTCTTCTTTTCTTTATCGTTTATTGCATTAAAGTCAGCGTTCGAAATTTTCCAAATTTTTGGTGAAATTCTCTTTGTATGTCTCGAGCTTTTTGTCCAACAGAAGCCTGAGAAAATTTCTCGTTAGTTAATAGTCGATATAAACAGATACGATACTGTGTTGGAAGGTACATAATTCTATTAAAAGAAAGCAAAGTTGATGAACAGTTTCGATTAGGGTCGATTCAAACAGAACGCTTAGTACGAATCGTCGTACACGATCAAATCACAAAATTTGAAAGTGTAAGATAACGCATAATCACACCAGATAGTAATGTAACGTAACATTTCAATTTGTTCATGTATTATATAATGTAACACATGTGCCCTTATCGGGTCCTAATTAATAATATATTATTCCTCAAGGTCGGATATAATTAAATCATATCTTGATGACTGGTGAGAAGTTTAAGAAACATATAATTACATATGTGGATTCATATATAATCATTAGACAGCAAATATTTATACAAATGTAAGGATATATGTATATACCGTGCTTTGGTGAAATATTTATCTCGTCACATGGATTGTTTATCGATAAACTCCAGTATAAATATATAGTTTCGATAGCAATAATGTCTAGTCAAAATCAACTACACATTTAAACATGTTTTCATAATACACTTCTGGACTAAGGGATAACACAACGGTAAATTATTGAAATTTCTATATTTATGCTCGAAGTTTCATATTTAATAATATACGTATACGTTTACCTCAAGAAACACAATAATATATGTCAATAATAATCAAATCGCCATTATGTAAAAACTAAATAATATGTTAAACTTTCATTATTTGTTATAATAACTTAAATTTGTTCTTCCTTAGAATGGAAGATTATGAGGGTTGTAATCGTAGTTAAAAAAAGCTGGTCTTAGTGTTCAATACTACTGAACAACACCAGTGATCGAGTTTTATTTTTGTAACTATTACATACCGAGTACGATTTTGCAATGTAAAAATAAGTAGAAAAAATGAATAATATTCTTTAGTTGGTAGCCTTGTTTTCGAAAAAATCGATATCGCAAATGTACGGTGTGTGCGAGCAACAGAATGCTATTTAAACTTCAGCGCAAGTAGAACAAATAGATAAATGGTCAGACGCGTCAGCCCAATCGTACTGAATTCCACTTGTCCCAGACATTATTTTCATATTATCTCGAAAACGAAGGCTCGAACGAAAAAATATCATTCTTGCATTTCGACTGACTTTTGCACACAGAATCACCCTCTGGTCGATATATTCTCAATATTATCAATATGGCCATTTTATCGTTATGGTTACAAGGCGAGCATATCGGTGCTTATTTTTGTACACAGAAGAGACCATCTTCTTTCGTTCTCGTATCGTCGTTCTTCCATAATAGAAACATTAACATAAAGAATCATGTATTGATCATGGATTCAGATCCAAAAATATACGAAATTAAAGCAAAGTTATTTATTACATTTGTAATATTCGTCCCCGACGTATTTCAGAATATATGCAATATGTAAAGTAAAATAGACTCTGTTCTTTGAACGATCCGACTCAAAAGCGCCGCTGAAAAGGAAGAACGAATAGAATATAACACTGGAAATGAGCAAAATACAGCAATAACCTGATCCCTTATCGTCGGTAGTTTGAAATTCGCTACGCGCCACTGAAGCATTAAAACGGTGTCGTACTTGCGTAGATGCAACGATACGAATGCAAATTCAAATTCTGTACAGTTTTCTTCTATATCCCCGAGAGGGTAATACAATATCTAATTCCAAAATTTATTCCAAAGATTTATCTTAATCGTTTAACGCATAATTTAGTCTTTCTCAAACAATCTTTTCTCTATGAAGGGTGGCATTTCTGATTAAAAAATCAGACTTCTTTAATATAATTTTTACTACATTAATAAAATGAAAGACGATACTATCGTTACCTTGTTCGAGTATCGATCAGAGCCCCCGCAATTACGCGAATATAACAAACTCCGATAAAACGTCTTGAAAAAGTTTGAAGGATGGTAGCGTTATTAGCGTTATGAAAAATCGAGCCACCTATCAGCGACGTTGCAATAAAACTGTTAAACGAATTGGTTTCAGGTCACTCGGCGCGAACTGAATCGAGCCAGCGACGAGGACACACGGGAGTACAATGGTAATTGATAATTGACCGGTCGAAAGAAACAGGAACTCGCTGACATCGTTTCGATCGTTAACGCGGCATGACGTGGCGCGGTAGTTACGGTATCGAGGGAAAAGAGGATATGTGATGAGAGGATGCGACAGGGGACAGTGCTCGCTGAGAAGAGACGGCGATGACGATCTGAAAACGATATTCTCGGTTTCTGTTTGCGAAGATCGAGGTGACGAACAGAAGTGGGAAATATGCCTCGACCGTCGAGGGACACTTACGGCGACCAAAAGCCACCCTATTCTTACATCTCGTTGACCGCGATGGCCATCTGGTCGTCGAGGGACAAGATGCTGCCTCTGGCCGAGATCTACAAGTTCATCGCTGATCGGTTCCCCTATTATCGCAAGGACACACGCAGATGGCAGAATTCTCTCAGGCACAACTTGTCTTTCAACGATTGCTTCATCAAGGTCGGTACTTATTTTCGCACCTTCTTCAGAGATGGAACGTGGAGCCAAAATATGCAATCTTAGCTCTGGGGGATCACATTTTAATAGAAATTAACACTTTGATGACTGCGTATTTCATGCAAAGACTATGGCGAGTTTCAACCTCACAAAAGCTCCGTTTTTCATAGCTCATAGGTATCTCTATATTCTTCTTCGTTGTCCCTTTGAAACATTCGTTGCGATCTATTTTTTAACCCTTTGTACTCGGAGACTTCTCTTCGACCAACTACCATTAACAATCCAAGCAAACATATCTTCTTTTTTCATTTTCTGCTTATCTATTTTGTCCTATGAGACGTCGTTGTAGTAATTCTTCGACCCGTAGCCATTTTTTCGCATTTTTTATGCAAATACAAATATTAACGCGGTCATCAAGAAAGTTCCATTCAGTAAATCAACGTGGAATATTATACTTCGAGCTTCGAAACAAGTGTTTATGAATTGTCGATGTTGATATGTTTGAAATTTTGTTTTTATTTTTGCTAAATTACAAATTTTATCCTTGTTTTATGGGGTGACTTTTGTCCTATATAATCACTTCAAAAAAAATAATTTCGTTGTGTTCCCTTAGAGTGTGCATCCAAATTCTTTGCTGGATGTCGAGTGTAAAGGGTTAATTATGAATTTAACTATTGCTTTCGAAGACGACTCGTTGACCGATATGATACGAACAATTTAAGCTTTCTATATTAATATCATGGCCAAAATGAGGTGCACGATGATGCTAGAAATATTATTATAAGGAATTATAAAGGCAGAGTTGTAAATGAACCTGAACAAACATAGTAGCTCGAATGGACGCTGACATGGGCGAGCGAAGCAGTAAAATCACGTACACGCGACAGCGGCCGTCAAAGTGTTAAAACAAGGATGCTAGGAATGTTATTATAAGGAATTATAAACACAGGGATACCATAACGAGTATACGGGATGAAACTCGATCCTGAACAAACATAATAAGTTAAACGGATGCTGACTGAAACAGGAAAATTACGTACATGTGACAGCAGCCGTCAAAGTGTTAATTACAAGCTTCTGCTAGACTCGGAGTTAACTCTGAATATTTATAATCGGTTCATGTTAAAAAGTAATACGTAACTAAAGTCGAGAATGATCGAGAATTATTTGTGTTGTGATTGTTGAAAGAGATAGAAAAACTGTACCAAATTTTAATATTACATAAGAAACAATATTTTTCTGAATGAATAAATTCTCGATGTAGAAATTTTATATTTTGGATCCATTCTCTCGCCTCTACGCTTTAAAAATTTCATATCGATCGGCCATAGGTGACTTTTGGAAGTCTACTCGTGAATTATATTTTAATTTGTGCTTTTCAGCTACCAACCGTCGGGTAATAAATTTTTATTAAATCTATGGTAATTTTTAAAGTTGCCCCGATCTTTGATAAATTTTTCACCAACTTCAGCGAACATTCTCAGAGGATTAGACGAGTTTCCCGATCTCACACTCGTTCCAAGAGCACTGAACGCGGCCATGTTTAAACAGATAGCTAATCGCTTGTCGTAAATACATTTTATCTCTTTGACGGTTCGAGCGAGACTGATAATTAGAAATAGAAGCATAAAGAGGGAGCATTGATGATATCAAGATACACGGCGAAATCATTCTTTTCCGCTTAGTAACCATACGATTCGAGCGCAGATAAATAAAGTGGAGACATGATTAATAGATTTTAATTACCATTCTGCGATCGAAATTATTATTCGCACGCAGCGCGGCAAAGGCGCGAGCAGGATGAAACAAATTACGTTATACACTTTTCGTTCTAGAATTTCAACCATAATTGATAATTTGTTGTGGTCTAAAAATAATACCGTTGATGTTAAGTTTCAGCTACCGTTCGCGTTTTATAATGCATTACAAATGCCGAGCGTTCTCTTTAATATGAAAGACGAAGATTGTTAATGATTTTATTCAGGTTTTGAAAAATTTATTGATCCACAAATCGTAGTTATCGTCGTTTAATCGTGCATTTTGAAATGTTACCAGCAGTGGGGGCTCAGTGGGCTCCTATTACACGAACGTTCCCGATTATCTGAACTGTTTGTCCCCCGTCGGGTTCCATAAATCGAGTTTCACTGTAATGTCTGCGTTTGTCTGACTTGCAAGTCACACTTATTTACTAGTTACGTGTCCGCGAAACAAAATGGTGCACACGCCGGACGACGCGGCAATAGCGAGGCGACGATAGCAAACAGTGGGGAAAAGTGATCAAGTTTGTGTAAAGATCGTAGAACTGATATTAAAGTTGAAAGATCATAGAATGGGAGAAAAATATAGGTGAAACAGCAAGAACAATATTTGACTGTGAAAATCGATACTGGTGTTGGTTTGACCAAAAAGAGGAGTTTCACTTTTGGGCGGATTTGGAGAGATAATCAATAGTCCAACAAACATTCGCTTTTATTTTTTTCAAAATTTGAAAATACATTAATAAACATTAATACGAATAGGATCAAGATTCAAAGTCGACGTAAAACAACGAGTGCATTATTTTTTTAGATTCCATCACAGAAGTAAAATCTTCATCCCTTATTTCTTCCTTTGTTTGTCATTTCACCATCAAAGTAATCAATATGTTTGATTAAATTCCTATCCAAAGTATAAATTCCACTAGATTTTGGAACAAAATAATAACCATTAATACGAGTAGGACTATGGAAGATCGAAATTGGAAAACTTGTTATAGGGAACGAGTGAGCCAGAGATTCTATCGCTTCGAAGGACCTGGCTAGAAACATTCGCTTGTCTTCTGCGTTCTGTGTGGTTGTGCGGCCCTTTTTTACACGGTATTTTTGGCGCATGCGCGAACCCTCGATACCAGACGCAAGCGCATTTATTATCGGTGTGAAGCCTCGTTACCAGACGCCTAGGCCCTCTCGCAGCCATCGCATTGGCGTAAGCGAGATAATCATAAGCGTAACTATTAATTATTTATACGAGTGAATTCATTTGGTGTACTGGAACTGAATTACAATAGTAATGTTAGTAATAACAGGAGTAATAATGGCTAATAAAACTGGTAATAGCAGAATAATTGTATAGGGGAGTGATGGCTCGTGGGTTCGCCATAGTAGCAATAACTTCGATTATATTAGTCATTTATGTAAACACTTCGAGGGTTCGAGTAAACGGGTGTTGCACGGATCCCTCGTTCACAGAAGTTTCATCCCAATCATCTTTTATTGTATTGCTTGGGAAAATAGAAAAAAGGCCCCCAATATCGATCATTCAAAGCCTTTTTTACTATAACTCGAGCTAAAGTCGACAAAATCTAAATTTTTAAACTGTAATTTGTATTACGAATGGGACTCGATTACAAAAAGGGAAGTCGTTTTTTGTAAATTAAGTAGCAAGTGGTAAATAAAATCAAGTTATTTTTACAAACGTATTGCTTAGGAAGATAGAAAAAAGGCCCCCAATATCGATCATTCAAAGTCTTTTTTACTATAACTCGAGCTAAAGAAGGCAAAATTTAAATTTTTAAACAGTAATTTGAGGTATGAATGGAACTCGATTACAAAAAGGGAAGTCGTTTTTTGTAAACTAAGTAGCAAGTGGTAAATAAAATCAAGTTATTTTTACAAACGCGAAGATCTTTGGGGCCCGACTTGTTACAAGTTTCGGATAATTCTCGATCGAGATTGTCTTTTTACTTAAGGCCTTCTCACCGTGAATCAACCGAGAGTAATTTGCATCTTAAATCTCCCATAGCCCCTTACGGCACAGTTTCGCATCGCGGTATTCTTGTGTCAGCGTAATTAATTCTGATTGTATGGAGAATAACTAACGACACAGCGTATCGGTGTTGGAAACGTCATACGAATTTACAAGTTCTTTGATCACACGCCTGGAACTGTCCACCTTGCTCAGAATTTGAGCAATTTTCGTTACAACGCAAGAAATCAACATTTTTATGATACTTTGTTGGTCCGTAGTTTACACACGCAAATTTTTATGAAAATCTATTAATTGCACAAAAAATAAACGTTATAAAATGTACGAACTTTGAACAGTCAATAAAATATCGAAACATACGTTATTTCAAAGTCATATTATTGTTTTTTAACATTTTTATAGTATGTTGTCCGTCGTGTTGTCACGATGAAAAATCACTTCGTTTCTATTCGGAGATCCTGGATGATTTCATTACTCGATCGCGTCTTAAAATACAAAGCACAAAATACTTTCATCATCCCAGAAAACGCATAAAAGAACTTAACGAGGATGTAAACCTGTCATGGGACGTCGTTGTAGTAATTCTTCTTCGTACCTCAGCCATTTTTTCGCCGAAGGTTGTCGTATAAAATCCATTTCTTATCTCCAATTATTAAATTCTTTACAAAACGATTTTATTATATGCAAATAAAAATATTAACGCGGTCATCAAAAAAGTTCCATTCAGCAAAGCAGAGTGGAATATCATATTTCGAGCTTCGAAACGAGTGTTTATGAATTGTCGATGTTTGTATGATTAAAATTTTGTTTTCACTTTTGCTACATTACGAATTTTATCCTCGTCTTCTGGGACGACTTAATATTTTATTTGTCCTTCAAAAATGCGTAATCTTTCCATGCAGACATTTTTCTTGCATCTAATAGTATCCAAGATATGGAACTAATCATTTTTTCCACCGATTATGAAGTTCTTTAACGATCATAAACTTCCCAGCAAAATAAAAATGATCACCGAGAAAATCCACGAAGTTTCAACGTTTTAATCATCCTAAAAGTAATCTTCGTATACAAACATCTAATACCATCCAAGACATGAAACCGAATAACTTTTTCCACTGATATTGATGTCCTTTAACGGTTACATTAGTTTCTTTCCACGTCCATAGATAAACTTCCCAACAAAATAAAAATGGTTACCAAGACCGTAAACGTAAGTCCATTTTCTTCAAGTGTTTACAAATTGTCGATGTTGCTACGATTAAAATTTTTTTACTTTTGCTAAATTGCAAATTTTATTCTTATCTTCTAGAATGACTTAATATTTTATTTGTCCTTCAAAAATGCGTAATCTTTCCATGCAGACATTTTTCTTGCATCTAATAGTATCCAAGATATGGAACTAATCATTTTTTCCACCGATTATGAAGTTCTTTAACGATCATAAACTTCCCAGCAAAATAAAAATGATCACCGAGAAAATTCACGAAGTTTCAATGTTTTAATCATCCTAAAAGTAATCTTCGTATACAAACATCTAATACCATCCAAGACACGAAACCGAACAACTTTTTCCAGTGATATTGCGGTTCATTAACGACCGTATTAATTTGTCCACGTCCGACGGGGCGAGCCCCTTAGCAAACTAAGAGTGATTAGCGAGGCCGTAAATGATCGTACCTAAAAACTTGCTGGTTCCAGGTACCACGGGGTCCCCATCGTCCCGGGAAAGGCGCTTATTGGGCGCTGCATCCAGCGGCCCTCTCGATGTTCGAGAACGGCTCGCTCCTGCGACGTCGGAAGCGTTTCAAGCTCCACAAACCCGACAAAGAGCTTCTAAAATCCGAACTGCAGGCCCTGGCTTCCGCGATGCCGCCTCCCCACTCGGAATCGTCCCCGGTACTGTCGATAAACCCGAGCGTCCAGACGAGCAGCCTGACCGTCGCGAATCTGCACCGTCTCCGGGACGATCTGCTGCGATGGGAACTCCAGGAGCGCCGTTTAACCATGGCTTCCGGCGGCAACAACACGCTGGGGTTCCCCGCGCCGGAAGCAGGCTCCAGTTACTACCTTCTGTCGCCAGAGGTCAGGCAGAGACTCGCCGGTACCGACGAGATCCTACGCGGCTACGAGAGCAACCTTCTGCAGACGAGGAACTGGAGTTTCCCCGGGTTCCAGGTCTCGCCGTACGTTTCCCAGCTGTCGTACTTCCAGACGGAGATCCCCGAGGGCAGGCAGCTCTGTTCCGGCGCCACGGAGACCGGCGTCGCGGAGAAGACCGAGAGTTCCAGGCCATTTCTGAACATCGGCGAGGGTTCAGGCGTGGAGGTGGCTGACGGAAAGATCGGTTCGTGCGTCGCGTTGGACCCCGGTATCTCCAGTCAGACGACGGTCCAACCGCAACAGACCAAGAAGAAGAAACCGTTCACCATCGAGAACATCATCGCGCCCGACGACGAGCAGATCTCCAGGAACCTGGAGGACGGGAAGAGGAGCCATCTTTTGGTGCCGCGGCCGCTGTACGCCGGCGGTTTTCCGTTCGGTTTGTCCACGACGAAGGTGTCCTACGAGACAGCGACCTGAATCCGATCGAGGAGAGTGCGTCCCGTGGACACGGGGCACGAAACACGAACGGGAACTCGAACGGTGGGCTCCGACGACGCGATTAGGTGCAGGGGGATAGTGATTGTTTAATCGTTCGTTTCGCTCGGTTTCTTCTTTTATTTGGTTACTTTTTGTCGCGAGGCTCGATAGTGGAAGAGGAACAGTGGACGAGGCTTCCGGTAAATAGTTACGTTCCGTCGCTGACTCGTAGACCGGGAGGGTCTTGATCGAAACTCCAGGCTATTTCATAATCATGATTCAATGGTGATCTGCTTCGAGGAAGGGAATCGATCGAGACGTGTATCGAGAAACTAAGAACGGACATCTTGGCTGACGATGGTTTGCTTTTCGCTGATGGTAATGGCTACCTTTCCGGTTAGGCTCAACGGATATACGGAGTGATAACAGAGGCGAGTTGTATCTTTGAAATGCTTGTAGATAGAGGAAAGTGTCGGTAGAGTGAAGTTAAATAGAAATTCGATATTGATTCTGTGTAATTAAAAAATATCGAACCCCATACTCCAATCAGTATTTTTATTTCCACTATTAAAACTATTAATTTAAAGGTTAGTGCAATTTAAAGATACCTCGGGCCATTTATTTACCCAAATTAATTTCTATATCGTCGAATACGTGAAATTTTTAAATTAGTAGTTTTAACCTCGAATTAAAGTTATAACTTTGAAACACTTGTAGATAGTGAAAAGTATCGCAGTTGAATTTTTTAGTTATTTGAAACTATCCAACTTTGCTCTATGACAGTTTTCTCTATCTACAAGCTTGTTGGGTGATATTTGATTTGAGAATTTTGTGGAGTTGTTCACGTTTAGGTTGACTTTCTCTCATTTTTTTGAGAAGTTATGAGATTTTTAAATTTGTTTCATCCAAGTGCAATAGGAAGTACAATGTTAGAAATAGTTAAATTTGTTTGCAGCCTGATTTTACACGTTGCAAGGCAGAGTTGACGAACATTATGCTTATTTAATTCTTACACTTTACACTGTAAAAATAAGAAAATTTATACTGCAATCAGGAACTGATTTATTCAATTTATAAGTTTTGGGAAACAAAAAATGGGATCCAATGGCAAAAATATGCATTCAGTTGCAACTTTTCAACCAATGATCGATTGATGAAATAATAATTCAGGATATCACGTTAAAAATTATACTAAACTGCTATTTAGTAAAGCTATAATGAAAAGTAGTTAATAAAAATCGACGTGACTTAGAAATCACCGAAAATAAGAAATTTTAAAAATAAGAAATTAGTAATTACATTCTGGACAATTGAAGACTATTAATTATTTATTCTAAAAGCGATTAAAATTATAATAAACTAGAATTGTGAATTACTTTGTTGATATATCACAGTTTAACCTTCTTCAAATAATGATCCAATATTTAAAAAGCTTCCTGGTAAATGTGTAGAAGATTTGTGTCTAGAAAATGCAAAATACCATTGTTCCTATATCTAAGCAATATTTTACAAATCATTATCAAATTCAGTATTATCTACGGATATAAAGGGTTGCATTGAACAAAGTGCAAGCAATTTAAAAATCGTCAAACAATGTACACACTGTGATGTTATGGATTCTAATATCGAAGCGTTCAATGTTTTTTTTAAAGCAATCATCAATTATTTCAACAATATGTCTACTTTTTGTGACTCGATGCTATTATTAGACACACGCATGGGTGCAAGATCGATGAAAGTGTTATAGGATGTTGCTCACAGAAAGTAACAATACTATGGTACCTTCGACATAATCGATACAAATCCTCCATCCATTTGTCGAGATTTCTCAATAATTATTACACAAATGGATAATCACCTGTAGAAAGTGAGATCGAAAACGACACCAAGTTGCAATCACGTTTATTTTATATTTACGCTAATTTATTACAACTATAATCACTTTCAGAATAAACAATTGGTTCTTAATTGCTTGAAACCCAAGTGTTACAAAAGAACGTCTCCCATTCTCGATGATTTCTATGCCAAGTAAATTTATATTATCTACTTTTCACTAGTTTTTACTTTTACTGAACACCAATATATTATAATCTTTGTAAATAATCTTCAGCATGATTTTCTGAATGATTAACCGCAGCCATATCCTTGCAGTTAACCGCATTTTTTATAACTTTCCACGTTCTCAGGCAGACTGTCAGTTTCTAATTTCTCACATGCAGAATCAGGCTTGCAAGAGAATTTTTCGTTGTTACTTTCAAAATTCGCCTATTTTCAGCGTCGTACTTTCCAAATTACACTCTTACCATCGATTTTGGAATCACCAAGAATATTTTATTTCTGTCACAAAGCAAGTTCAATTGTGTGCTCCAAACAACCCCCTCAAATATCCCCCAAACTCGCATTAATTGACCTTTGAGCGACCTCGAAGTCCATTTTCTCAAACCTTCGAGTTTCCTCGGTCGTTTTCAATTATTTAGAGCATACTAGAGGAAACGAAGAAATTGTACTTGCAACTGCCTATACTTAGCGCCAAATCTATTGGACGGTCGGAGTTCCCCGTTGGTGAGTGACGTGATCGATATTGAATTTTACTTATACATATTCCTCTAACCCTTTGCGGTCCTATTTCCACTCGTAGTCTATGGCTTACCTCTGTTTCCATATTATAATAACGAAACCACAATTTACATTAACAGATTGTATTTAATATACAAACATATGTTTCACCGCATTTATAATTTAAAATTAACCATCGTATGGTATCTTTCGAAATGCTTTTTGCTTTCCAACGCATGACTAATAGATTTGGTTCCAAGTATATCCGTAATATGTTTAATCATGTTAGTATGAATTCTTTTTATTGAGATAGTGAAAGGTTTTCTAATTCGAATAATTTGAATATTTTAATATCACTATTCGACCGTATCAAACAGGATATTGAAATATTTTGTCGTTTATCGAGCCACGCGAACGGATGAACCGTAATGTCGTAGTGGCTGAAATCGACGATTAACAAATATTTATCAACCCCCGTACAACACGTTACGTGTCTAAGTATTGAAGATTACTGAGAAGCAAACGTAGATTCCAACGAATAATAAAACTATTATTTTGTTTTGGTAATTCTGGCAGACATGTTTGTTACATCTATTAGAATGAAATCTTGTTGCAGAAGTACTGTGTTGTACGGGGGTTGACTGGACACAAATATAATTACAACATCCCTTAAATTGAGACACAACGATGTGCAACAATTAGTCTTTCTTCCCCAAAATACGAATGTTTCGTCTTAAAAAAATACTCAAGTATTCGAATAATATTCCAATTGGTTCCACCGAGTGTTAGAATCACCGAAAAAAATTCCGTCGAGTAGCCAAGATGTTTCGATGGCGAGCAATGGAAATTGTATGAATACGTCAACGAGCGAGTAGCAGACTTATATTGATTTAGTGTGTGGGAGTATGTAAAAGTTATTCAGTATTTATCTATGAACGTACATCGAAAGTAGATCGTTCAAGTACGTTTTTGTGGGTGCACGTGTCTTTTTTCGAATTGGTTGCTTTCGTAACCGAATATTCGAGATTCGAACAAAATTGCCAGTAAGAGTCTCGATCCAAAATTTCTCCATCCTTGTGAAATACCGTACGTTTCTTTATTAAATTACCGAAAATAGATTTAAATTGATTAATTAGTTATTCGAGGACGTTCTCGTCAGATATATTTAGAAATTTTCGATTCCTCTTACTGGCCAATTTCGAAACGCGATCGACCGTTTCAATTATCCTAGAAGCAACCAATTAAGACTTGTGCCCGGTGTATGTAACGAAAAACCACCTAATTAAGTGAAGCTAGAATGAATTTTTGGAGAATTCACCGTTCCATGGTTGATCTTACTATAGCAATTAACAGTCGTTCCCTGTCTCTTTTCTAATGTAATTTAATAGCCGTAGAGTGCAAGTACGTTCGACAGAACAACGACCGCGAGCATAACAATACTAATAGTAATGTAAATAGCGAATAAAACAAACGCGAACGAACGTAAGAAGCAACGTAGAAACAATAGGAGAGGATACGAAACAATCAATTGAATATGATAATACATTTAAAGTTTAGTAACATATTTAACGAGCCAAAACATGGATACTTTTCCTGTTTCATTGTACCGTGTAGTGTCACGGTTCTCCAACGAAAGGATAAAAGTCACACGATCGGAGAACTGAAGTGGAAAATCGGAATAGCTGAGTACTTTGCGACGTTTTGAAAACTATTTCGGAACAGTAAAAAGAGTACTCGAATAATATTTGAAAGTATTCTACGAAATATTTAATAACATGGTAGAATCTTCGTAATCCGAACTAAAGAGATTCAGACGAGGACATGGATTTTTTAACGACGAAACGCCTGTTTAACATCGATTTTTACTTGGGATAAAATGATAGAGATATTAATGACAATAATGGGAAAATAACTTATTGGAACTGTTTCTTCTTAAGTATACGGATTATCATACCTTTCTACGAGTGTTAAACAGTTATGAGCTCCGGTTTGCAGATCTCGATAAACTGATTGCAAAACACGTCTCTTTTTAATAAAAATGGCGATTCAAAGTGTAAGAAAAATGTTTAGCTTAAAATAAACACACAAGCTTTCTGATTTATTTCTCTTTTTTTGTCAGAAATATTTAGAGGACAACATCCAGGAGAAAATTGGTATATAAACATTCATTTTAGAAACAAATATTTGATCGACATTTAACGCAATATTTATTCCCAAATCGAGAGATAATTACTCCTTAGAGTACAGTGTTTTTCGAATACCACATCGAGATCTAAAATTTGAGAACTCGTTAAAAAAACGTCCACTTCTGATCCTCTGAAACAAAGTAAAAAGTCTAGTTTGGAGATTGGGATGTCAGAGTATAGTCGATTATAAAAATATAATGGCGGTCGTAAGTCAGCTTCGACAGATCTGAAAAGTTGTTTGAAGACACCTAAGATCCT